AGAAACCTCCTATTGAGATTAAGAGAAGGCTGATCTAATCTGCAGATAAGATAAGGGTTTATCCTCATCACCTAAAGAGAGGTCTGATCCAAATATGATTTGGATCAGCAGCTCTTAATTGGATTAGGAGCTGATCTTTTAGGGTTACAAAAGAAGGAGGGGGTGGCAGCCTTTAGAAGAATCACATAATCAGATCCTCTTCAGAGCTGAAATAAAAAAGAAAGATTTCTGCAATCCCTGCAAAAGATCTTTCTTGCCGCCTCCTTCCTGCAACCGTCAGACATCCAGTTCGATCTCCAGTTGTGGGAGAAGTCAAGATTCGATCTTGACATCAGTTCTTTGAGAATGAATTGATAGGAAGCTGTGCTCACATGCCATCCTGCTGTTTCTTGCGAATGACAGAATTCTTGGAGAAGAATACTGCTGATTCTGCTCCATCCTGCACTGCGCCATCTTCAGTGGGAGTAGTCTTTGGATCTTTCCTTGGGCGTGAACACCTTCGTTGGGAAATACTTTTTCTCCGTATCAGGTATAATCTTCTCCTACTCTTTTTGGTTCAGATTTGGTTCAGTTTATGGTTCAAGATTGATCATTGAAAATATGATTTTTTAAATAGGGAATGCGATTCCCAATTGAAAGGGAGAGAAAAAATTTTGAAATTCGCCCCTTTATTCTGCATGATTTGGGCGTCCATACGATGGATCTCTCACTAACATCGACCTCAGTCACATCTCACCTTGTATTGGTAACATGAATAGTAATTACAAATACGGGATATGCTCTCCATGTGGAGACTAGATCTGCTCCTCACACTTGGCGCCTCTCACGCACATCCTATCATGCATTGGGAACATCTCCTGTACTTATTAGTTATTATTCATGGGAGATGTTCCCAATGCACAATGGATGTACTTGTGAGGCGCCCATTTGTGAGGAGCAAATCCCGCTTCCTCCATGTGTGGTAAGGAGACGTCATGAAGTTGGTGTGAGGCGTGCTCTGTGAGGAATAGATCTGGACTTGTAGGGGTGTCAATCGACCGGTTTTGGATTGGATCCTATCTGATCCAAACCTTACCAAATTGGATTTGGATGGTTCATTATATTTACTGGATTGAGCCAATCCAAAATAAATTGGTCCATGTTCTTATTGGTCTAAATTGGACCTAAACCAAATTTTCAATAATCTGATCATGAGGCCAAACCCTTGTCCAATTTGAAATCGATCAAAATTAAAGTCGATATACTTTTATGGAAGTACTTTTACGAAGGCATTTTTATAAAAACACTTTTACAAAAGCACTTTTATAAAAGTAATTTTATGAAAAATACTTTTATACAAAAGCACTTTTATGAAATCACTTTTACAAAACAACTTTTACGGAAGTACTTTTATAAAAGCATTTTATGGAAATACTTTTATGAAAGCACTTTTAAGGAAGTACTTTTATAGAACACTTTTACGAAAGCATTTTTATGGAAGTACTATATAAGCACTTTACCGAAAGCACTTTTATGAAATAACTTTTACGAAAGCACTTTTATGGAAGTACTTCTATATAAGAACTTTTACGAACGCACTTTTATGAAAGAAGTTTTACGAAAGCACTTTTGCAAAAGCAGTTTTACAAAAGTACTTTTATAAAAGTATAAAGTACTTTTAAAAATACTTTTATGAAATCACTTTTACAAAGGTGTGTTTTCAATGCCAAGATGGTATATTTTTGTAATTTTCAGATTTTCTTCATTTTAATATATTTTTGTAAATTTTTATATAATTTTTGATATTTTCATTTGGTTTGGATTAGATCCAATCCGGTCTATTTACATTTTAATGGATTGGATTGGATTTGGACTGGATTGGGTCCACTCCATTTGTAAGTGGACTCACATTGGACTGGATCGAGTTACATCAAATCCAGTCCAATTGACACCTATACGGACTCGTTAAAACCTACAATATTTTTTTTTATAAAACAAAAAAACCTGCAATATTCGTTTAATAACAATGCGAGTTAATATTTTTTTTCTTTATTTTAATAACAAAAGAAATGCGAATCCAATGCCAGTATGATACTTGATTTGGGATTTCAATAATAACTCCGGATTTAGATATAGTTGAACCTGATCCGAACTCGATCCGGTTATAGTCCTAAATCTTAACTCTATTCTTTGGGAAGCTAAAAAGTTTGAGTATAAAAAACAACTTTTCTACTTTTTGGGATCTCCTTTGGTACGTTGGAATCCCTGAAATGTGTTTCTTTAGAGTTTTCTCCTTAGGAATATACAAGTATAGTTATACCATTTAGTACAATTATAAACATATTTCTGGACTATGTATAGTTTAGATAATATTTATATCTTACTATATATACTTTACAACTTCATATATATTATCTAATCATATTTTTTAATATAATATTTAAATTATATGAAATGGTATATCGTACAATATAATTTTTATATGATATAATATAATATACAACATAAATATGATAAACATTATTTATTATTGTATTGCATGGAAAGGTTATGCAAGACTTCTATATATATTAGTAAATATGCACACATAGTAATTTCAGATTGCATTAATAATTCCAATATCCTTATTAGAACCATTTAAAAAGGATAAGTAATAGGTGTGCTGATGTATTTAGATTTTATATTTCACTTTTATTGTTAACAAAAATATTTTTTATTTATCATATTTATTTTTGTTTAATATGATAAATATATGATACTAGACATGTGCACAAATTCCATAAACAGATTTTTGTGCTTTCTATATTTTTTTATTTTCATTTATTTTTTGAGGTTTTATTATATAATTATAACACCATGTGCTGACCTATTTGACTTGTAAAAAGACAGTATCATTTTTGGGCAACTTTAAATTTTTTATTTCATTTACATAATTAATTCTAAAAATAATTCTTGTTTATCACACTTATTTTTGTTTGATATCACAAGTTTATAATATCTTAGATATCTCAAAATTTTCTGTAAATTTTGTGTATTTTTAAAATTTTTGTGTTTCTATCTATTTTTTAAAATTTTTATTATTTAATTATAACATCATTGGTTAACTAGCTTACCCAAACGATTGGACCATTATGGTGCAAGTCAAGTAGGTTGGGCTAAATTTAAGTTTAATGTAGACCCAACTCTATGCATTGGACCTAAGGCTTTAAACCAAAGTCAACCCTAATTTGTTCAACTTGAGCCCAAATACATATATCTACAACACAAATACTGAAATACATACCAAATAATAAAAACAATACAAGATTTTACACTCTACATATTTGTATTTGTACTCATTCCAAACTGAGCCTGAACAAAAAAAAAAAATGCTTTACTTAATTTTTGTGTGAATCATAAAAGTTAAATCTAAATACCGGTACCACATATCATATATCACTTACATGTGTACATATCACATGTTATTAAACTAGTTTCACATAAATTATACAACTAACCCCTTCCCTTAGCTTTGACATGGAGATGTTAACAGAAAAAAAGATTATGTCATGTTTTAAATATAAATAAAAATCTAATTTCCCAAAGATGTGAATATTGAAATATCCATTGAACTTAAAAAGCACAAAAAATCAATAAAATAAAAACAATTAAAGAAAATGTTGAAATTTCTGAATTTTACTGCAAATTATAAATATTTAAAATGTCAAAAACTCCCTTTCTATACACCAATATCCCCTTGAATTGACATCAATTTTGAGTTGACACTACTGTGACCCAGGCATGAACTTATTACTAAAACATCATGTTCGATAGGAACCGAATACATTAAAGAGGGGATGGTAAGATTGGGGCAATAGGCCACATTAATTCCGTACATGTGGGGTCCGTGATATACACATGCACGTCAACGACTACCACGCTGACGTGGCATATCGTGATTGGCCTAGTATCCTTCCGTCTCTATAGTGGATTCCGGATTCGGAGTCAAAAGGGAATAAGAAATTCGGCTGCAGTTAATTTTTTTTTTGTCAAAACATAACTCGTTGACTTGATAGAATTGCAGACCTTTATTGATTTGAGCGTTCAGGAGAGAGCAAGGCCGATCAGGCACTTGCGTAAGGTTTCCAGATTCCGGTGGATTCTCAACATCTCCGTTGATCGTTGGTCGAGGGCTGCCGGATTTTTCCACGCTGATCACTTATAGACATAAAAGGCAGTCAGAATATATCTGAATTCTTTCTCTAACTTCTAATGACGAGAAGAAGAGAGATGTCGGAAGTGCTTAACAGAGAAAAGAGAAAGGAGTGGTGGGAAAACTAACATGAATAGATCAATCGTTCTAGAAATCCATAGCGACTTTTACTTGGAAATGCTGAAGGTCTTTGAGATAACGCCAAGAGAGCAGTGTAACCAGATTTATCATCACGAGCAGTAGCTAGCTGAGGGTAGCGCTGGACTAGATCAAGAGCAGTATCTGTGAAGAGAAAGAGAAATAGATCGGTAATTGAACGATCGCTGATACTGGTGATATCTTCAGCTTTAGGTGGCCACTCACCGTAGAAACCAGAGGCGATCATGAAAACTAATAATCGAACACCATTTCCACCTCGAAAAGGACTGGGATCTTCATCTCTGGTAACGGAGTAGAGATACCTTACCATCTTTTTGCTGCCATATGTTAAGGCACACAGAAGGGGTGTCGCGTTTTCATCGTTCCTTATCTGCGTCAAATTAGGGTTCTTTGTTACCATCGCCTTGGCAGATTGGGTGCAGTCGGCCATGGCAGCATAAAATAGAGCAGTTCTACCCAATCTATCCTTTGATTCCAGTTGTTTAACAGACATTTTCTCCACTAGCTTCTGCACGAATTGAGCGTGTCCGGCACTAGCAGCGACACTTAGCGCAGTCATCCAAGAGACGTTGATCTTAGCAGCCACAGCGTCGGGATTCCTTTGCAAGAAAAGATTAGCAGCTCCCCAATCACCTCTTAGAGCAGCTTTGTACAGGAGCCGGAAATGACTCAGTTCCTTCAGCACTTGTCGATGAGTAAGGAGATCCATGATTTGATCTGTTAATGAACCAAACTTTTCATTGTTAGAGTAAGATTTGATACAGACGACAGAGAAGTGTGTGTGTGTGTTGTTTGTGCATTGTCTAAAGCCAAAACACTTTCAAGCCTGCCTGACTTTTGATTTGAGCTCTAAAATCACAAAACAGTAACTTAATTTGTTGCTTACTGATCTCGGTTTCCTCACCTGCATCTGATGATGGGTTGCAAGTTGAACCGTTAGGATTTGTTCGACTGTTGAGACCTGGTGAGGTTGGTGTATCTGCAACTTCACCTTCTAGTAATGAAGGATCAAATGAAAATGATGCAGCTGGGTTGACATGATTGCCTTGCAAACAAGTCGATGCCATGCTGTATGTGTTATCATGCAACTTTGGGGGAGGATTATTCTTCTGAGCTAAATACTGGCTATAGTTTCTAGATTCTGCCTTCATGTATAGTTCTTGGCTTCTTAATCCGTAGTTTGGTCGGTGTTCTTTTGTTTTGAAAAAATAGTGAAGTTCTCGTCAAGGACATAACAGCGGGTAGGGACGGATAACGGATTATGGATTGTGAACTTGTCGATCGGGTTAGTATGTATGGTTGTGCTCTATCAAAACCCGACCTGGCTTGACCACGTATCAACCCGAACCTATCCCGGCCCATGAATGGATTAGAGCGGGATGAGATACTTGAAATCTATACAAGAAACACTTGGAAGGGTTCACGGATCACGGTATAGCAATCTAATTAAAGATATAACATACAATGACCCGAACCAATCCTATTTCCTAACCCGATTAGGAACATGCGAAACCCACCCCAATAGGGGAATCCATATGCAATTTGCATCCTTAGCAGCATCCGTCAACCAATTCGGGCATGATTGGAGATCCGTGTTGGCAATCAGTTTTGTTAGACCCGGATTGTTTACAAATCAGGAGGACGACTGGGTCATGGATCAAATAGTCCAACATGGGTTAGCCCGTTTGAAATATATATATATAATAAGCACATAGGTTGTAGTTGGATGATTTTGACTTCCATGCATGTGAAAGAATCTTGCAAATTCCATTTTTGCAATGGAAAATGGTAGAAATATCTTGCAATGGAAAATGGTAGTTTGAGAGATTTTCCACCAATTACCTGAAATAAATTACCTTGCCACACTTGTTGAGAGAAAATTACATATTAGTACTTTGTATTTTGGGCCTAGCCTCACTTTAATCCTTTAAATTTTAAAACGTACCAATTTAGTACAAAACTGTTAACCACCATTAATCGGCAAGTGAAAGGATGTAAATAACTTTCTAGTGTCATTTAATTTTCTTTATCAATCATCAGAACTAGTTTTCCTCCTTTTGCCTTTCCAGACAGATCAAAACTCGTATCTCATTGTCGAACTCATGCCCCTTGAAGACTCTTCTCCATAGATTCTTATGAGGAACGTTTGCCATGCATTTCTTCTCTTTTGGCTGTTGTAGGAACCCGAGAACGAAACACAACAGTGAGACTTCTCCTTTGGTCGAGAGTGATGTTGCAGACAACTTGCCAACTTGTAATGGCTGAGCTTGTCGTGAATCTCGCTTGGGTCTGGAAATAAATTCTGTTGGGTCAACTCTAATAGGAGGCCCACACTTGTAATCTGGATTGAGAATGGCAGTTCGGATCGGTTTATATCAGGCGGAAGATTATACACTTGTAATTGGAAGATGGCCCTGAATTTGATCGAGTCCAAGGTGTTTAGTAGAAGAATTCCATTTTAATTTACAGCAGTAGGAGAGATCACTTATAACTGGCCTGCCTCTGTAATTTTTCACGGTTAATGACAGGGGAGAAGTCAAAGTCCTGGTAATATTGTACGAGTGTAGGCTCCTCTCAATGAGTATATGAACTCCCCCCTCATCCCTCAAGACGTCCAAGAGGATAGGCTTGGAGGGACATCATACACGAATTGAGGGATCACCATTTCCCTATCCCTGATATCCCGAAAGAGATAAAACAAGACAGGAAAAGAAATTGAGAACATGAGAAGGTTTTGGATTGAATCCCATACAGTCCAAAATCAATGTGGACGGATTAGACAGATTAACAAGACATATTGAATTGAACCAATCCGGTCTAAAATATTTATTAGATTGGATTGGACCTGGTCCATCCATAAAATTTATATTGAATTGGATTGGATTAAGTCAATATCTGGTCCATCGATATAGGATAAGAATATATGTGTCAATGAATTGGATTTGGGTTAAAACCAATCTAAATCAAAATGAATTTGAATATATTGGACGATCTAGACATTGAATTGGACTGGTCCAAATTAGTTCAATACATTTATTGGATTGGATTGGACGTGATCCATTTATGATGAACTCACATTGAGCTGAACCGGATTGGACCAAATCCAATCCAATTGACACCCCTAACTGAAAGTGAAAATTGATGGGGCCACCTCTCATAATCCAGGCAATGAGTGCTGCTTTCTGAGTTTTAAAATAAGACAGAAGGAAGAAAAAAGAAACCCAAGCCATTTGGAGAACCGGAAATGAAAGCTACAAAGTTCACAGGTTTCAGATTTGAGACTAAAGCCAAAAACATGACATTAATTTGTAGTTTTTTCTTTTTCTTTTCGGCAAACGACATTCAAAGATTTAATACAGAAAAATCATTGCGTACCTTTTCTTTAGAAGAAACCAAATTAAATCTCTGTTGTGATGAAGGATTAATCGTTCCCCTCAGTATTCATGGCTATGGTTCAAAGTGATGAACCGATGATTGAGACGAGTGTGGGTGTGGTCGCTCAAGAATCCAAAAGCAGCAAGTTTATATAGGACTTTTGAGGGGGATTGAACCATAAAAACCCCTATTATGGTTTGGATTGGTGGTGGGTATGGTTTAAAGCGATTAGTATCTTTACAAAATCGACGGCATCATCGACTCTAATTCAGTTGCCTTGTTGATCATTGCTTTGGATTGGTGGTTAGTTTGAAGTTGTTCACCATTGCTTTGGTTCAATTTAATCTTGATTCTTGAGGAAGAAGATGATGAACAATATCTTATTTCGAAACACAATTTTGATATTTTCAAAAGTTTTAAATTATACATGTCATCAGACTAAATTGACACTTTCTGGAAATTTAGGTACTGGATTGGCATGTCTTGAAATTCGAAACCAAAGTAAGATATGCTCAAAGTACAAGATACTAATATGCAGTTTTCCCTACTATTTTTAATACATGATTATATATATAGTAGGCCTTTGTCATAAATGAATAACTCCTTTAATCTAATGAAATCTTGGAAATCAACTTATCAGTTTCCATAAAAAAATCTTGAAAAGCAACTTGGCTGCATTATTTAATATTTACTAATTAATGATTCCTTTAAGGAATCTCCTAGATATTACTAACTATTAGAATGTGTTTTTTATGTATTTGCAGAGTTGATATATTATTTTATATATTTAGATAATATATAATATTAACTCAATATAAAACAAGTTAATAACTAATTCAAGTATGCATTAACAAGTGCCTTAAAAAACACCATTTTTGTTCTTAGTTCTTAGTACAAAATGCCATATTAGCATTTTTTTCTTGGGAATTGACATCACCAAATATTAGTATTTTTATGTGCTTGATATCCATTTAGAAGAATTCATTAAGAAAAAAGTATTATCTACTTCCAAGACCCACCAATGGATATCCCTAATCTTTACTCTTCAATTAAGTTGTTTTATTATTAACATCTATGTATGATATATTTTTGTCATTAATTCTAAAATTTTGTAATTTTGTTGCTTTTGAATAGGTCAAAACTTATATTAAATTTTCTTTCCACCTACTTTTTGGCTTTTAATTGGTTTTATTTTGATCTTGAAATTAGTATGATATTCTAGAAAATTAAAAAATGATTTATTTTCTTTTAACTGTAATGAGGATGTATTCAAAAAGCATATAGCATAGGTGGAGATTATTCTCTTTTCTCAGGATTCTACCACTGCTCAGTGATGCATACTCGGAGGAGTGGAAATATGGAAGCCCACTTGCTTTCTAGGCATGCTTTCTCTATGTTTAGTATTTTTACTTGGTTGGGAGTTCCTTCTTTTCTTGCTGATGTATTTCATTCTGACTTGTATCCTAAACACGATTGAGTTTGATTTGAATTGCCTGTTTTTGCTTAAAATATTGGGAGAAACATTTACACATGATTAATATATAATCTCTAATAACTAATAAAATCTGTTTTTAAATGAGTAATTAATATTTAGGGTAAATTTCTGAAACTTCTCTGAAGGTTTAAGTTGTTGCTAAAACTTTTCCTGGAGTTTGGTAATTGAAATCACCTCCCTTCAACTTTCTAACATAATTGTAAGTAGATCCTTTTGTTAGAATCCGAGACATGGAAATGTCCAAAATACACATACAGTTGCTTTTGACCAAAATGTTTATATTCTAAATTTTCTCTCCATATGAATTACTCCCCAAACCCTTCCAATATCTTTTCTGAAATTGATTTATTTTTCAAATTTGCCTATTGCTTGAAGGTAAAACTGCAACTTAAAATTCTTTTTTTTTTGTTGCTTATAAAGTTTGTATTGTATCTCTTCTTTAGAAATCAGCCTCAATAGTAATTGTATGAGTATTTTAGACATTTTCATGCCTCGTATTAGAAGATTTTAGCAAAGGGGTACACTTGCAACTGTTTTAAAAAGTTCAAGGAAGGTGATTACAATTTCCAAACTACAAGGGAGATTTTAGCAACAGTCAGCAATTTACCCTAATATTTATATGTTTAAAACAAATTGGGATGTACTCCTAAGAGCATGCTGCTGCAGCCACACATTGGGAATAGATGTGAGATGGGTGTGAAGAAGATTTTGTGAGGAGGAATCCGGGTTAGTTCAAAACAAAAAGAAGCGTGTGGTTCTGTTGTCTTTTATGATATAAAATTAAGGGCAAAAGACTTAAAACATGCCTTGAATTTTCAGAAATTGACTTAAATATACTCTAAGGTTTTAATATAAATTTAATAATACTTTGTGGGCTGACGCAATTGGACTTAAACATACCCTCAATAAAAGATTACATATGAATTGATAAAAAAAAATTAAAATCCAATTTTTCCCTCTTATCCTATCTCTTTGGTATGATTATCCACCTGTGACTTTTCTTTTTCTTCCGGAGAGAAGAGTGGTAGAGAGTGGGAGAGCAGAGGGAATAAAAAAGAGAAGGAATAATTGAATGAATGCCCTTTGAGAGAAGAATTGCTTTGCTTGTCCGACATCATCATTATTTGTGAATGGAAGAGGTAGCTCCCACAGCCTGGAAAGTAAATTCTCTGGTTATGTTTGGTTTGAAGGAAAAGGTAGGAAAAGGAGGGAAAATGTAAAAAAACCTTTATAAACCTTGTATTGATTTTTCTGCCTTTCCCTACCTTTTCCTTTAAACCA